AAAGTGGTGAAAGTGGGCAAACTTGTCTTGTCCCTGATCTTAAAGGAAATGGTTTTAGCTTTTCCTCATTGAGTATGATGTTAGCTGTGAGTTTAGCATATATGGCCTTTATTATGTTGAGATATGATCCCTCTATTCCCACTTTGCTAAGGGTTTTTATCATAAATGGCGGCTAGATTTTGTCAAATGCTTTTTCTGTATCTATTGATATGACCATATGATTTTTATTTTTCATTTTGTTAATGTGGTGTATCACATTACTTGATTTGTGGATAGGGATAATCTTGATTCTCTGCTATTCAAAAACAAAAAAATGAAAAATTTTGATAATTTAACCATTACTAACCCCACATCCAGGATAAGAACTGCTGTTGTGGCCCACTCCTTCAAATTTCCAGAGGATAAAAATGAGGCATATAGAGGACCAGAAAAGGGAAGCCAGATACCCAAGGTCATACAGCAAGTTAAAGCAGAGGACAAACTCTTCAAATCAGGCCATGGGTATGGGGATCTCTGGGAACTCAGGTGGGAATTATCGGGCTGACACACTGATATCCTGCTCCAAGCCTCTGTCTACACTCTATCTCATTCCTGGACTCCAGGTCCAAATGACAAAGTGGCCCACTGGAGTTCCCCAAGCGATCATCTCTCATGCACCTCAAACTCAATCTGTCCCAGTGAACTCACTTTCTTCCCCTCCCGACCTCCAACCTTTCTCTCACCCAGTTCACCTTATTTCAGTATCAGGTGCCACCATCCATTGGGTTGCCTATGTCCAAAGTCAGGAGTCATCCTCAGCTTCTCCCTCTCCTTCACCCAGCCGCTTACCAAGTCTGAATTCTAGCTGTTCAGCAACTCTAAAATCTTGTCTACTTCTCTCTGCCTCTCTACGCCCTAGTCCCAACCTCCACCATCCCAATTGTCCCCCCTTCCCCCACACACCATCATGGTCTCCTATCTGTCCCCCTTGCCTCCAGCTTCACCCTTGCTAATCCCATCTCTACTCAGCATGAGGGTAATCTTTATCAAGCACAAGTGTCTCCTGCTTAAAAACCTTGGTCTTACCTTTAAGGCCAGAACGACTGGCTTCACCTAATTCTTAAGTGTACTTCAAGTTCACCTGAATGCCTCTGGGGAACCTTCCCAGATGCTCCCTAACCCCTCACTCCCACCCTGCTCCACACAGGCACCCACCTTGTTCTTGCCCTGCAGGTTCTTGATGGCAACTTCAACACACATATAGAAAGCCCCGATGCACTGCACCTCCAAGCGCGACGAGTCGAGCAGCTGCAGGAGGCGCTGCAGGTCGTCTGGACCGCGGCCCTGGCTTGTGTCGCTGGCGTCCACCAGGCAGCGGGCGAAGTGACAGGGGTCCAGCGAGGCCACGAGCGGCTCCACGAGCGCCAGCGTGCCGGAGAGCTCAACCTTGCGCTCCACCTCCTTGTTGGTGGCCAGCACCGCCACAGCGAGGCAGGCATGCAGCCGCAGCAGCTCGTCCTCGTTGGAGAAGGCAAGCGGGAAGAGCCACTCAGCAGTGCCCTTCTCCACCATGCTCCGCTGCACCGCCTGGCCCCCGTACAGCGCGCAGTTGGCCAGCGCCAGCGCGCAGTGACGGAGCAGCGTTGTGTCCGTGCGGCGGCACCAGTACAGCACCGCGTCCAGTCCGCCCTCTGTCACCAGTCGCTGGCACGTCTCCTCCGAGTGCTTGAACATGTGCTCCAAGATGCCTGCCACGCTTCGCGCCAGCTCCACCGGCTCACGCTCCTTTGCCAGGTTCAAGATGACGCCCAGCCCGATGCTTGCCACCCGGTCCCTGCCCAGAGAAAGTGAGAGGGGGTCGGTGGAGTTGCCCTGGCCTGGGATGCTTGCCTTGCCCCATGGGGACCATGGCCTGGTCACTTATACTCTCTGGGCCTCACCAGTGTCATACAGGACTTGAGGCAAAACATTATCCTCCTTGCTTTCCCCCTCGCCTCTTGCCTGGGAAGACCAGACTTCTCTGATTACAGGAGTGCTCCACCCTGGTCACACCCATTTCTTCCCCTAGAGAAGAAGTATATGTGGTGGTTTAAACCCTAAACTCTGGAGCAGATCCCCTTGGTCCTACCTAGTACTTCAAGTTCACCTGAATGCCACTTCCTCTGGGAAACCTGGTTGCAAATTCTTCGCCATTTTCTAGCTGCGGAACCTTGGATACCTACCTTAGTTTCCTCATCTTATAAATAAGATAAAAAGGATACCTACTCCATAGGTTTATTATGAGAACTAATATGATAATTCATGTAAAGTGCTTGCCACAGTGCCTAGCACACAGGAAATATTCAATAAATGTTAACTTCTTATCATCATTTGAAGTGTCACTTGAAGCACACCACAGCCTTGCCTTCAAATTTCTCTTCACCCCATGTTGTGTGACTGGAGTGTATTTATTTATTCATTCAACAGACATTTATTGAGAACCTACTGTGTGCCAGGTACTGTGCTAGGGGCTGAAGTTAAACAGTGACTAAGAGTAACTGAAGCTTATACTCAGCTAATATGGAGATAAATAGTAAGCAAGTATACAATGAACGAACAGGATAATGGTGATATGGCCATAATGATCGCAAAATCAGGTGATGTAATGGAGAGTGCCTGAATGTAGGCATATGTCTGAGGAAGTGACATCTGAGAATTAAGTGTCCAGAGAGCTCCGCCTGCAAGTATTTGGGAAAAGAGCATAACAGGCAGAGAGAACAGTAAGGACAAAAGCCCCGAAGGCTGATGAGCTTGGCATGTTTGAGGAATAGAAAGAAGGACAGAGATATTTACAACGTCTAAAACCAACAAGAGATTCATATATAGAATATATACATAAATATTCAAATCCACAAGAAAAAGGCAGTAAATCCAGTAGAGAATGGGTAAAGGACATAAACAAGCAATTTACAAAAGAAGAAATCCAAAATGTTAACAAAGAGGTGTCCTAACTCATTAATAATCAGAGAAGTGAAAATTAAAACAGCGATGACTTTATATCCATTAAATGGACAAAAAGCAGAAGCTGGGTGACATGGAAGGTTGGCGAGGTGTGAGGCCACGAACGCTCTGAAGCTCTGTGGGTGGGAACTCTGTGGGTGCTGGCTGGGGCAGTCAATTTGGAGAATGGCTTAAGGGCCATTATTAGAAGAGACAGTACACCTGAAAGAGTTTGGNGATTTCATTCTTCTTTATGGCCAAGTAATACTCCATCGTATAAATGTACCACAATTTCTTAATCGTCTACCGATGGGCATTTTGGTTGTTTCCATGTCTTGGCAATTGTAAATAGCGCTGCAATAAACATAGGGGTGCATATATTTTTTCAAATTAGCTTCTTGGATTTCTCTGAATAGATACCCAAGAGTGGAATTGCTGAGTCATAAGGTAGTTCCATTTCCAGTTTTTTGAGATACCTCCATACTGATTTCCATAATGGCTGCACCAATCTGCAATTCCACCAACAGTGCATGAGGGTTCACATTTCTCCACATCCTCACCAGCACTTGTTGTTTGTTAATTTATTGATGATAGCTATTCGGACCGGAATGAGGTGGTATCTCATTGTGGTTTTTATTTGCATTTCTCTAATGATTAGTGAGGTTGAGCATTTTTTCATATGTGTGTTGGCCATCTGTATGTCCTCTTTAGAAAAATGTCTCTTCATGTCCTCTGCCCATTTTTTTAATTGGGTTGTTTTGTTTTTTGGTGTTGAGTTGAATGAGTTTTTTATAAATTTTGGATAGTACCCCTTATCAGATGTATCATTGACAAATATATTCTCCTATTCAGTAGGCTTCCTTTTTGTTTTATTGATGGTTTCCTTTGCTGTGAAAAAACCTTTTAGTTTGATGTAATCCCATATGTTTATTTTTTCTCTTACTTCCCTTGCCTGAGGGGATATATCAGTAAAAATATTACTAAGGGTAATGTCTGAAAATTTACTCTCTATGTTTTCTTCTAGGATTTTTATGGTTTCAGATCTTACATTTAAGTCTTTAATCCATTTTGAATTTATTCTCGTATATGGCATAAGGAGGTGGTCCAGGTTCATTTTTTTTGCATGTGTCTGTCCAGATTTCCCAGCACCATTTATTGAATAGATTGTCTTTACCCCAATGTAAATTTTTGCTTCCATTGTCGTAGATTAAATGACCATATAGGTGTGGATTTATTTCTGGGCTTTCTGTTCTGTTCCATTGATCTATGTGCCTGTTTTTATGCCAGTACCATGCTGTTTTAATTACTATAGCCTTGTAGTATGATTTGATGTCAGGTATTGTGATACCTGA